AAAAAAATAAAAAGAAATAAACAGATTCTGCATCTTGAAAGTTGATTCAGTCTCAGGCAACATTTCAAAGAACTGTAATCACTTAACAAGCCTTGGTGGTGCCAAGATTAAAGCACTCTAGGCATGCTTGGGAGGGTGGAGGGACAGCGCAAGGGGAAGACACTCTATGAGATGGATTGATTCAGTGACTGGGGTAATCGGGATGGGTGTGTCAGAGGCAGTGCTATTGGCTCAGGATAGAGCAGGGTTTAGGGCTGTTGTACATAGGGTCGCTATGAGTCGCAAACGTCTCAACGGCACACAACAACAACAACAACAGGCACTAACTGTAAAGCCGGTAGTTCAAACCCACCAGCTCGGCTATGTGGCTGTTGTACCTTGTTACCACGGTGGAATCGGATTGACAATGGTTTGGATCTTTGATTGGTGGTCACTCTGACTGCTGACTGCTAGGAAAACAAACAGATTTGTCCTGGAAAGGGTTAAACCGGGTGGCTCCTTGGAGGCAAGGATTCTGAGGCTCCTTCTAACATACTTTGGACATGTTGTGAGGAGAGACCGGTCCTTGGAGAGGGACATCAAGCTTGGGAGGGTGGAGGGACAGCGCAGGAGAGGAAGGCCCTCTATGAGGTGGATTGAGTGACTGGGATAATTGGGATGGGAGTGTCAGAGACAGTGCGATTGGCACAGGACAGAGCGGAGTTTAGGGCTGTTGTACAGAGGGTCGACTGGACGGCACATAACAACAACAACAACAACTGGCTGCTAACCGTGTGGTGGTTGTTAGATGCCATCAACTATAACTCAGTTATCCTCTGAACAACAAATCTGAACTTGGCCCTATCCTGCACCATCCTTGCCATCTCTGATATGCTTGAGTCCATTGTTAGAGTCATGGTGTCAATCCTTCTGAGAATCTCCCCCTTCTCTGACCTTTCCCAGAATATCCTAACCACCTTTCTACACCTACACCTCTCATATTAGGACTCTTTAATGAGAACATCAGAAACCTAACTCAAAACCTCCCAAGATGATTTTCATGTGCCCCCTTACTTCTGCTCGCCTGTTCGGATCCTAGTGGAGACTCAGGCCAGCGAGTGACCCCACAGTGCATGCAGCCTATCTAGGACAGTGCAGCTTAGTGCTTATTTTCCTATATGGAATATGACAGCTCACCCGATGTCATTCAGGAGTATCTGGACTGTGAAGTGTGCAGGCTCCCTATTTGGCAGCATGAGAACCTAAATCCTCTGTCCCAGCAGAACCCTCCGCTGTCCCAGCCCCTCCTCTAAGCGGCCCCGCAGTGTCCTCCTCTGTGACCGTGAGGTGACTCCCCTAATTTCTGAGACCACTGACTACCCTAGCACTTCCTCAAAACCTACCATAGCTCCTAAAGGTTAGGCCCAAAGGCCTAACTGAATTCTGAAAAGCATCAAATCAGCTAACCCTTTTCCATAACTGCATTTTCCATAACTGCGTTGTACTACACAAAGTAAAAAAAGTGTATCTCCAAATACGTTACATTTTTCCCAAACTCTGGTACACGTTTCCCTATTCTCGGCACTACCAGTTCCTCTGCTCTCTAGAGGACACTCTCCCGGCGGAGAGGCCCACGGGCGCTGCTCGGGGACGGGAGGCGCGAGGCGGCGGCGCAGCACCGCCGCGGGGATCACGCGCGAGGCCGCAGAGCGGAGACAAGGCGGGGCCGACGGGCGTCCAGCGGGGGCCGGGTCCG